ACTTTGAATCAATCTGACTGGATGATCTGGTGAACTGGAAAGTGACCTGAGATGACATGATGTGAATTGGAGCTATAGAAATAAACTGAATAGAATTGAAATTAATTGAAAGGTGGGACTCGATGGATCAAATATCTTATAATATCTGTTGTAAAACCTACATTTCAGATGAGAGATATTTAGATTGGTGGTGGTAGTGTGATGCTGCGGGTCAGTTACTATTAGAGGCATTCATTCAGCGTTTTACCAGAAAATCTAAATTTTGTGGCATGAATGGCTTTTCACAGCAGGCCACTAACACAAACACAGAAATTCCTTCATAGCAAAGAGGAAGACGTTGTCGCTTGATGGAGGTTGTTAAGAAGCGCGGTAGAACCAGTGATTAGGTTTAGTGGGAATCTACTTTTCTGCATATGAAGGATTTTTCATTATGAAAACATATTTTCTTTTCTAATTAAAGCAATTATATTTTTCTCTTATTAAAATTAGTTTGAAACATCAAATTGTGACAAAAAGTCTAAATCTTTGAGGTGGGGAACTGTTTAGGACCTTATGTGGATTTAGTGGTCAGAAAAATCCCAACCAAGTGACTGATTTGCAGCAAGCCGCCTGTAACTAGAAGTCATTTTTTGGGCCTAATTTTTACGTATTGAGCAAGAAATATATTTATGTTTGTAGTTTTTCATTTCTTTTATTAATATCTTTTAGATTTGTCTGGTGACAGGAAAGGCTGCAGTAACGGGAATCCTTAAATGTCCCATGAGGCTAAGAAGTGACATTAGATAAACTTCCAGCATCATCTGTTTCTAATAAAGTAAATCATGGTAGCCTGTGAAAGCAGGCTGCTTTATCAGGCTCAGTAGTGTTCTTTGACAAACATGGATGCCTCCAGTAAAGCACATTCACATGAAAATTACTCTGAATTAAAAACACTGATCATTTATTGAACAGGATGGAATCATTTCAGATTTAAAGAACTTTCAGAAGCTTTTATTCTGAATCTGAGCGACTTTTCCTTTAACCGTATGACTGTGATGAAAAAGGC